GCATCCAAATAAAACCTCTGTGAAACTTTTCTTAAAATGACTTGTAGAGGAAGCATAAGCTAACAGAGCTTGTCAAAGCTCAAATTTTACATTTTTGTTTGTGTACTAAGCTGCCTTTTAACATCTTTTCTTTACCATCTCAGTCTTCTGCATGTTCCTGTCCATCACATGTTCATTTCTGCATTGGCTGCTTTTTTAAGCTCTCTTTCATTCTTCCCTCCTTCCTGAGCAACCTTCCAGGTGTGCATATGCATCCTTCCTCCCATGCATACGACTAACCAAGATACAGTGCGGCACCGTTGCCTTTCCCTCGCTACTGTTTTCTTACATTGCCTTCAGTCCAATGGGGAAAAAGTGGTTCTTGCACCTAGCAGGTTTTGCACGGGGCATGTCTTAACATATTTGGTCTGCAGATCATCAGACCAGCTTGCAGAGCTTTGGTTAGTGAGAACTGGCTGATGATGTAGTGCTGGCACTGCTTCCTTTTACTCTGCTTCTAAATTGCATTAATGTCAGGAAGATTAGGCTAAATACTAATAATTTCCTAATAGCTCATTTCCATGTAAGCAATTTTTGTATTTGATCCAGAATGTTATACAAGTGAGAGAGAGGGAAGGTAAGAAAATTCTTAAGAGAATCTGTGAAATAAAATATAGTCCATACCACTTAGTTTGTTCAGGAAGTGCTTAGAAAAGATGCACTAGTGTATTTTAGAAGCAGCTTCCAACTTAGGGTAATAAAGAACTCTGTAGAGAAAGTATAAATTTAATTATCTTACAAGTCACAAATTAAGGTGTTTCTGGAGTTTCCAGCTGACAATGAGATCTGTGGGTCATGTTCTGCACTTTCCTTAGAGTTAAGTGAAGTCATGGGAAGAAAGAGCCAAAGAGCTTGTACGTACAAAGGGGAATCATTTCCCAGAGTCCTAAACATACATTTGTTGATCATTGGTGGGAGTTTTTCTTTGTTCTTTTTTTTTTTTTTTTTTCCTTTGGGGGTGGGGGGGGGGGGGAGAGAGGGTGTTTGTAAAGGTTATAAGAATAGATTGACGGTCCTGGTTCTCTGCTTAGATTCCTGAAGGCAGATATCTGTGCTTTGTCAGTGATGCCCCAAAAAGGCTTAGGGATAACTGCTCAGACAGAGGTAATTGCAGCATTTAGGAAATAATTTTCTGCCACAGCCAACGAGCTGAAATATATTCTAACTCCAATTCCTCTGGGTGAGAATTTTGCAGTTTCTGTTCTTGATAAAGTGGTGTGACTTAGAAACCTGCCTGACAGTGAATCCCTTCAGATGCAAAGTGCAGCAGGTACAGTTACCTGCCAAATATCCCTATATAAATCCTAGAAAGCAATTATCCCGTTATAKGCAAACACATTTCCTATTTATAATACCTAAATGTATTATTTGACTGTTTAATAAAACAGCGTATTATCAGTAGATGCYACTAGAATGTATCTGTAGAAGGGATTTGCTTTGATTTAGTGAGCTGCTTTGACTTTTAATTCCACATGAGCTGTTGAGAGCGAGTTGCTGGGGGGGGGGGGTGTTGTTTGTTTTTTGTTTGTTTTGTTTTTCATTGAATATCCAATAATACTCTTCCTATTCTGTGGCACAGTCTGCACAAACTGGGGTATCTTCTGGGAGCAAAGTAGTTTCCCCATATTGGAAAGCAGATTTCCTATCAGRACATTGGTTTGGCGTGGGCTGCTCACATTCTTAACTGCAGTGGCTGAAAAAGAGAGACTAGCCCTTCTCCTATCCCTTTTTTTCTGATCCTAAACTGAAGTTGTGACTAAACCAGCATGTTAATGATCTAGTCTTTTATCCTCTACAGTAACTGCCAAAGATTCTCTTTTTGTGTTTGTCTTGTGATGTCTTTGTTCACGATATTAGATTGCTACATTTGGAAATATGCAGCTTGGAAAAATGAGAAACCCATCTCAGTAGATTGACATTCAYGTGTCCAAGGGAGGATTCTCAGCTGCAAACACTGGAAAATAGAACTTGTCACACTGGGTCAGAACAGTCTAGTCCAGCTCACTGTTCACTTCCTAACAGCTTTCAGTATCTCACGCCTTCGAGACAAAGAAGTCAGGAAGGCTGTTGTGAAAAAGCTTTGCTGCAAGTTTATTCCTATCTGCCATGTTAAAAATTATTTTAAAATAATTTTGTAGACAAGCATGTTTATGTGTGCATAAAGAAATATTAGAATGAAAATTATTGCACATTTAATAAGACTGTCCTGTAAATCCACAGCTTGCTGGTTGAAAAACAGAACTTTTTGTAGATGTGGATTTCTATAGATAGACCTTAATAAGCTCCAAGTTCTAAAAATTATTTTCCTATGTGAAAAAGGCCAGCTGATACTGGTTAGGTTTAGTAAAAACTATTGAATGGTCAATACAGGCAAACAGTGATAAACTGAATAGTAGCATTTACAAAATTCTATAGTCCTTGGCTTTAAAGAGATTGAGCTATTTAAAGATTAAAGAGGGTGAGTTGATATTTAAAGTAATCAATAGGGATTCAGGAGAGCTAATTTCAGTTCTTAGCCCTGCCATGGACATGCTTTTTGACCATGAGCAATTCCATCCTGAGTAATTCCTCCTTTGTAAAATGCTGCGTAGGAATGCTGAGATGATAACAATGTCTGTTTGATTTTTTTAATTACTGCTTTCATACTGAAAGACAGGAAGGAGTTAAAGGGACACACAGTCTCTGCATATTTAATATTCCTTATGTCATCAGACCTTCATTATTCAGGAAATATTCTATCTCAACAACAATTTAATGGTTCAGGAGAGTCTAGATCTGTTATTTGCTAAGGGGTAGATGGAAAGTGTCCAAGCTCAACATCTCAGATCTCTGCTGCTACATGTATGTGTTTATTCAASAATCCCATACATTAGATTCCCAAATGCTGAACAAAATGGAAAGTATTTTACTTTTGTTGCATGCAGTTCAGACTGAACAAATTAATTTAGTAAAAGTGAAGTTTCTAGCTCTTTTAGGATACAGTAGAACACACAAGCTTGGTTTGCGGGTGCATTTTCATTTAGTTATGTTAACTCTTACTATTATTAAGCTTGCTGGTGCGTGGGAGGGAAACATTCTGTTCTAAGTCATTTCATTTGCCCTGTCTTTATGAGCACTTCATGTAGTGGGCTTCTATGAGAGGGAAATACTGCACAGTACATTTCAAAATATCCACTAGAAACTTGGTGTTGACAGTATATTGCACTCAAGTCTCCTCTGAGRTGAGTGGCCAATGTCTAATAATATCTATGGGAGTTTGAGCTGTTCTCTCAAAGACTCCTCTGTCCAGAGGCTTCAGGGGCTGCAGGAAAACCTCCCCAGTAGCTCCGAGCTGCTCTGCTCCATGCTGGCTGCTTCGGGCAGCCTGTGTAACCACAGGGATACTGAGATGAGCTCCGAGGATTCTGTGCCAGATTCTCTTGTGGGATAAAGCTGTTGATTATACGGAGTTTGTCACAGGCATGTATTTGACTTGAAAACCAAATTGATTACACAGCAAAAAATGTTTGGTTGTAAATGCTAGAAATCTGATAGCCTGTTTATAAAAATGCAAATATCACCAATAACAGCTGCATCTTCATTGTTTTTTTTATTGTTAGACAGGAATTATTTCCTTTGACTGGGAAGAGAAATAATTCCTGAAAGCAAAACTCTTCAGCAGCAAGGAAGGGTTGTGTGGCTTTGAGGCTGTCTTTCCCCTTTCTGATGTTTCCTTTGCTTTACTCTGGAAGTATTTTTACTGTTGTAGTTGTCTCTCTCTTTAACCTTCACAACTCCCCTGCCATCATCATTCTGTATTACTTAAAACTTATACACTCAGGGAAAAAAATCTTATGTGAAATTCTGACCTGAAAAGCAAGTGTCATTTGTCTCCATCCTTCAGTGTAAGGCCACAGCTGCTTAGTAGGAATACGAGAGCCTACTGCTGCTGGGAGCCTTGCTCCAATTGCTTGCCTTGTGGCCTTGATGGTTATTTTCATAGCACATTAACACTGGAAATAAGCCATGCTTTATTCTCTTCAGGCTTTGGTTGTGTTTTTTTACCATACTTGCATGATTATGGCTCTTGGTGTGTTAACACGTTTCTTTCACAAGTCCTGATTTCTACTTCATCCTCCTCCTCCTCGCCTTTGTACCCATGACATGCCAGTGAAAATGAAACTTGCTTGTCTGTGAAGATACTGTTTGGTTTCTCATTGCTTTAGAGTGGTGAACAATCCACCTTTTCAGACCTCCTTCTGAGTTTGAAAATCTGCCTTCGGTTCATGTGTTTTGGAGGTCACATTACAGTAGGGAGATGCTTTAAAAGATGAGAAGTTAGAGAAGATGACATGCCCAAATCTTCACAGATGTAAACTGTACTGGTCTTTAAAACTATTTTGGAGCTAAATGAAGGAAGTAGGGGATATGTATGAATGTCTATCTAGGCAGAGAGAGAGAAATAATGTATGCAAAATAATAGCATTAAAAATACCAGGATTAAYGCTTCAAACTAAGACAATGATTGGGGTTCAACATATTAACATAATTCATTTTTGGTATTTCTTTCTTGGCAGATTGTTTTAGAAACCAAACTTTACCAAGTTTGATTATTTTTACCACTTGGAGTTGACATAAGGATATGTTCCAGTAGAACATTTTTCAATTTTTAGTTTACTTGGGAACTTAGTGCAGTCAAAACTAAACCTGCAATTATGTATTACACATGCAAAGCATGACTTTAAAATCAAAACAGAGTTCTTTGCAAATGAAAGGAGAAAACACATACAGTGAACTTGCATATTTGGTGGGATTCACTTGGTGAGCTGGATGTGTTTCTCACAACTAATACTCATAGGCAACCACTCTGTGATGCTTTCGGCAACCAAACATTTCTCCTCAGCCCATCTTCCTTTGCCCTTTTTTTTCCACCGCTGACAACTGCACTTGCTTTATTCATCCTGTATCTCCTCCTTTCACAGAGGCAAGGAAAATGTTGCAGCAGCGTCAGAAAACAGGTAATGTTGACTCCGCGTGTTCTGCTTCCTTCTTGTCTGGAGTTTACCTCCCTCTTCCCCGTGGGATTCTTATGCCCCCAAACCTGTCAAATGCATACACTGTTTGTGCAGGTGATTAATAATGGAGATTCCAACTGAGCGTGTTTGCTAGATACTTCTAATTCTGTGGGATGAGAGCAGACTGGGACAAATTCCTCGGAATTTATAACCTGAAAAAATACAATGCTTTTGTCAAGTGTTCTTGGAATGGAATACTATGGTAGTATGACTGGGCTTTAAGAACAATTTCTATCTTAAACTTTGTCTAAATTGTTCAAGATGTTTTTCAAATTAAATTATTTCTTTTTGGTATTTTAAGTACACTTCTAAATATAATTTGTAATTACCTTAATAGAACAGTGATGGCTTATGAGGCTTATAGGATAACATCTCTGCAAATAATTTCTTTCATTTCAATACCTATTCACCTTTCCACAGAGTAGTTTGTAGCTTAATTTGTGCAGTAAAACACAAAAATACTGAAATGGAGCTTCTTCTTGAATGCAACAGATCAATCGTTTAAAGGAGTCAAGAAATTCTTAAAACTAGATCATGTTCTGAAATGTACCTCACCACTTTGTTCAGTCTTATTGATTCCTCCACTGAAAATATGCCACTCTTGTTTTGTTTTTTTAACACTGCTCACCTATGAACAAAGGTTGTGCAGAAGTAAACTCCAAGTAAAAGCAGCAGCATCRCTAGTGATGCATAGTTTGGAATAGTATGGGGGGGAAAAAATGAGTATTTAATGAGTTATGTGAAAACAGTGAAATGCAACTTCTTATATAAAGTTGATATTACGGAATTAAATTGAGGAAAAAAGTAGCAAATGCTAATATTTCACTAATGATTTTATTTGCATAAAACTGTCCAGAGAATTATGGAGTGGCTCCATAATGTTTTTTTTATTTTTACCAGGAACACAGTCTGATGTATGACTGGTGTGTCACACTTATCTTAATCTTGCATGGCTTGTCATACTGTAGCTTTTTCCACCTCCATTATCACACCTCTGCTATGTGTCTGATTTTCATATTCTCAACAATATAATTTGTGGATTTCGCACACTGTGTGCCACAAAGTACATATATTCTTGCTTTCTTAAAACCTCTCTTGATCTTAGTAACTAAAAAATCCTTGAAATTTGTCATTACCTCAAATGTTATGCCAGAATCTCCTATGACAGAAGAAATTTGGGATTTGTATGGAGGACACTTGATATTTACAGATGTACATCTTCCAGCAAAGCAAAATAGAAAAAGGAAGCCTCTACTATTAAATCTAGTTTTGTGTTTGAGCTCCAGCATCTGTTCTTTTTCTGAAAGCATTCCCCACTGCATGTGTAAGTGCTGTCTTAAAAGGCCCCATATTAGTGTTCTGAAAAGCTGTTTTGTCTGATATTGTAAGTAGCAGGCAYATGGATCTCTTTATATTTTTTGATATCTCTATATCTTTGATGTATTTTTATATATTTTTGATATATATGTGTATATATATCAAACCTTTTTCCTTTAAAACCACCAGCTGCTTCTATGGATGGATTTTTTTCTTTTTTCCTCAGAAACCTGCTATCACCTAAGCAATGAGTGACATGATTTTAAAAACTTTCATATATGAATCCCTTGTAATCTTTGTTACTCAGGCCTACTGCTACTCACGCGCCACAGTATGTGACCTCGAGTATTTGGCATCCTCCTCAGTCGCGCCCGGTGGATGCCACCACTGACAATGCTAAACCAGTGGCCTCCAAGGGCTCTGTGAGGCTTGGAGCAGGTACAAGTCAGAGGGAGGCCAGTTTCGTCAGCACTGGCCAGAAAGTCCCTCTTACTTCATCGAGTAATCCAAGGTACTCTGTGACATGTAGCTGCATAACTGACCTGGTTTGTAGCTTTGGAGTGGTTTGGAAATAACCTCTTCTAACTCTTTGACCCATAAAATCCTATTTCCCAATAGGCAGAAGTATGAATTGTACAAATTCCAGCAACTTGCCATTTATATGGGGTTATGTTTTAAGTGGCTGTCCTAACAAGTTCACCTACAGCGTACTGACAGCAGCCATTGAGCATCTTTTGCAGCTGATGATATCCAGTATATGCCTGACCGGTAGTTCTTACAAGCACAAACATTCCCATGTCCAAATGTAGAACTACTCCATGTTCTGTCCTGCTCCTCATGTTCTCCAGCATTTTTTTAATGTTATGGCATTCATCTGGATTCTTGTCTCCTGTAGTTTTGTTTCTTTACAAGAGAATCAGTGGAAGAATTGAAACAAGATTTGTCTGTTACATAAGACACAAAGTACATCGTCAGTGATCCACTCAATTGTGGCTTGCACAGAAAATCTCAGAAACTTAGGACCCCACTGAGATAGTGTGATCTACACTTACTTTTTAAAATGTTATTGTGTTTCTTGCTGTGTTTTCTTATCATGGTTGTTAACCACTATCATACTCYTAACCTCTACTGATCTGTGTCCCTTCCCGTGAATGAAAAACAAGAAGGAGCAGAATTCATGCATTTGTTTTCACCCACCTAAATTGTGTTGTGCATTTGTGTCTGTTACCACAGATATAGAGATATTTGAGAATATACATTTCCATTGATTTTCTTYAGAATGCACAATTCTAATGAAGAAAAATGTATAGAATACCTGAACAAAAATACCTGTAATATGCCTATAATGAAGCTGTTAAAATAGGTAATCCATTTTATAAAGCAGTATTTGCCTTTAGCAGTTCTTAATTCTTCTGCATCTGAAAATTTAAAAAAAAAAGGTAGATAGAAATTCTAGAAAGAGGAAGTCTGGACATKTTCAAAACCAGCACTGTGACTTACTGACTTCAGAGGAGTCTGTATGCAAATCCTGTGGCTCATAGAGAACAGCTCCAGTAAGTGGAAGCAGTTGCATCAATTTAAAATAATCTAAAATTATTTAAATATTAACTTTAATAYAAGTTAAATGTTATTAAAACTAATAATGTATCAATAATATTCAAGTATCTATGAAAATATTTAATAGTTTTAAAGGTCCAACTAAGAAGAAGTCACAGTCTAAAATTACTGTGAAAGTGATAAGCTAGTCACCAACTGCAGATATTTTATGTAACCTTTCTATAACCAATTTATGTCAAAATCAATTCTCCCTCATTTTTATGTACTTTTTGTATGTGTTCTGTATGTACTTCATGTAAGCAATTCTTTGTTCTTTAAAATAATTAATACTTTCTTACAGGAAGCTGTTCAAACCTCTAACATGTTAATCATGAAATGAATAATTAGAAACAGCATATGCTAAAAAAAATCTTTGTTTTTACTTTTAACAGGTATTCTAGTGTGTTTCTATTCAGTTTATTTGTGTGTCTGTTGAGCTCCAATCTGTTTCTCTACAGATCTGTGCCCCCCCCACATTCTTATCTTCCCCTCACATTACAGTCACTGAGTATGTGTTTCAGTTAACATTGAGATCTTTACAACAATTGAGTAACTTCACTGTTTGTTGATATTTAAGGTCTTGATTTTGGTGAAATCTGTAACAAATTCCCTTTTACTTCCATTGCAATAGGATTTCACATATTTTGTCTCTTTGTTTTGTATTTGTTTTTAGGACTTAGAGGAAGTTCGGTTTTATTTTTGATATAGTTCCCATTCTTGCATATTTGTCAAATTATGTATGTGTAAGTACTAAATTCTGAGTCATTAGCTTTTAATGTGAAAGCTCCATTGCCCACTGTTAGGCAAGAAATAAATCCTGTTTCATTTATATTAGAATTCAGTAGAACATCACAGGTATGGATTATGGGCTAGTGTATAATATACATCCACACTGCTACATGGTCTCTATGGTTGATATAATCTTAACTAAAGCAGAAGAATTGGCAATATCATGCATTAACCATCAAGAAAGATAAATTGATCTGAATTTCAAATGTGAATTATGGTTTAAAAAATGTGCAAAACTATTGCAAGACGTTAGGTGTACTGCCTTGAAAACTGTAATGGTAAAGAAGAATTGTAAAGTATTTTCAGGTGCTTGGTTGCTATATTTACAATGGCAGGTGAAACTTGGAAAGGAGAAAATAATGATTTGCGTCTTTCCCTGTGAGTTGGCTTAAACTTTGTGCAATTATTTGGGCATAACCACCACATTCCAGTCCTGACTAACCAAGTGGTAAAGAGCTCGTCTGGAATAAGAGGCAGCAACATTTGGACTACTAAACCATACAGGAAGGTGCCATTAGGGCAGGGGAAAAGGGACAGTATCTTGAAGAGCAAGAAGGTATTGTGAGCTCTGATGTATCAAACAGTAATGGTAGCTCCTATGGAGTATAACTTGCTCAGTCATTGTTTCTGCTGTTAGAAGCAAAAGAAAATACAGTGTTTGAAAAAATAAGAAAACCACTAGCAAAGTCACTTGGAGAACAGCTGAAAGGTTTGACTGAAAAATTGACTTGGAAATGTAAACTGCCTCTTGTTATTTGGTACTTGCTATGCTCAGAGAAAGAATACTTGGGACATCCCGTGTACGATGCACAGGAGAATCCCCCGATTCCATCATTTTGATACAAGTAGTTTATAAGATCCCAAAGGTGAGGCAAAATACTCATGAGTGGGATCAAAAGAGGTTTAAAAAATCCATTATCATCTTAAAATAYGTTTTTATATCAATAGTTTGGGGATAACTGTATTTATATACAATTAACGTACAACTAAAAATAAATGTTGTATTAGAATAACCAAATAAAATGGAACTGTTGCACACAGATATGATATCAAGAACCATGGCCACTTGGCAGTTTGTTTCATTTATTGACATCTATCTATGGCTGCTTCAATAACTAGTTAATTAATTATCCACTGTTATTTCGAGGCAGATGTTTAATGCAGCAGCTTTGTCCCATTTGCCTATTCGCAAGGGCTAGGAAATACTTTCTGAAACTTCATAAGGCTTAAATTTGTTAATGAGAACTGATTGCTCAGATAGAAGGTGATGAGAGACAAATTAGTATTTCAGTAGGTTATTAAAATATACACAAGAGATGAGATTTTTTTGTCAAATTTATTCTACAATCAAATAAAGTTAAATTAAACATGAATATTTCTCTGATCTACACCATCTATTTCACAAGAGGCACATAGGAATAACAACTCTGGTCTTCATCACCCAAGTGATTTTAAAGTTTTTCCTCTCTTTGTGGCATGAGCATAAAAACCTGTAATTGCTTGAGTAGTTGGCTGGTAGAGTTTATGGTGAGTTATGGCAGAGATGAACAAGTCAGTCAATGGTTTTTTTAAAAAAATCTTTTTAAATTTTTAAATATTTTTCCATYGCAAGCATTACACAAAACTGAGTAAGTCCAAAACAAAGTCCCCGCTGACAATGTTTCTAGATTATCAGAATCTGCAGCAATTCTGCTGATAAAAGACTCTAACCAAGTCCTTTAAACTGCTTTTCATTTACATGAAAAGAATCCTAATCTGAACATTGGCTCCAGGAGTGATGGAATTTGTCCTGATGGATGGCGCTGCGATAGGCTGCATGCTGCCATCTAAGCACCTTGTGCCACATGCCTCTGGCTTCAGTGGGAGCAGGAATTCAGTGCTGTGCAGCTCCCAGAGTGAATTCAATTAAGCAGGACCAAAACTGCGTTGCCATGTTGCCATCTGAGCTACACATCCAGCAATGCCTAACGAACGTGGTCTACTTTGTATTTCTGTGCTTTTCTTTCAGTAACACAGCCTGCTACTATGTTTGCGGCCTCAGGTCCCAACATAGTAGGGTTTATGCTTTACGTTTAAATACATACCTCTTAAAGATGCTTCTTGTTCAATTTAACTCTAACTAGTACCCCTGTTGAGCATGCTCCAGTGTCTACCAGCTCTGCCTCTGCTCCTGTGCCACATGCTTCCGCGCATCCGCCTGCTGCCGCTGCTCCAAATCCAGGCAGCGCGACTCCGCCAGCGAGCGCTCCCGCCTCCGCAGGGCAAGAGTCCTTCTCCTCCTCCTTCCAAAGGTAATGCTTCTGTACCTCTCCTTGCGCAGTTGTGCCCCTGGATGCCTCTGGAATTGCGGTATATGCATTCTTAAGAATGTAGTATACAAGAGCTGTAACCTGTTTGTATGCTTTTTTTTATATTTTAGTGTTGGTTCTTATGCTGAAGTGTGTTGTTTATGTTTGCAAAATGTAACTGCCCAGAAAAATAAGAGAAAATTGCTTTATGTCTGGGGTACAGTTCACATTTTCACAAAGCAAGCCTGGGGCTGAAAAGGGRAGTTATTTTTTTGCCACTAGTACAAAAAAATCTTCGCAGTAATTGCAGTGGGTGAATGAAAGTTCTCGTCATGGTTTTTAAAGTATGATGTGAAATAGAAAATTTCAATATGTTATGTATTCAGATGATTGGATTTAACATATTGTAGCACCCTTCAGTAGAAAAGGGTAAATAGTGAACAAAATGTTAAAAAAAAAAAAAAAATCAGACTGAGTCTGTGAAGAAGTGGATGCAATTTGTATTGTTGTCTTTTAGATTATAGCAGTTGTTGAAGGAATAAGAATGAATTCAGTTTGCGCATATTTATATTTCCTTGTTTATGGCTTTTGCTATATAGAGATTTTCTAATGGTTTCTTTTTTAGCATGCTTTAAAAATTTGAAGGAGAAAACACATCTTCAGTAAAATAAATGGTTTTACAGAGTTGAGACCTAATTCAAATGTAGTCTGTGGTATCATACAGTTTTGTAATTTGCTCTACTTGACAGTTTTTCCCAATTCATTTAAAATGTTTATGTATACCAGCTATTTGGTTTCTCATTTAAGTCGTTTTTTCCTAACCAATCCTGACTGGACTCAAATGCCTTTTTTTTTTTTTTTCCAGTTCAAGAAAGTCAAACATTCAACTAGTAAAAAAAGGTTCTCTTAAGGTTTTAAACTGCAATTCTGAACTGTGTTGAAAGGCATTTTCACATGATATAACCATAAAGGTTAATCATTTTGCTCTTCAGGTTAAACTGTAATGTGAAGAAAATGGATTATTTAATATAGTCCTCAGAAACTACCCTGTTAAACTAATCATGTCAATGACTTTCCTTAGCTAATCACAAAAGTGTTACTATATGAGAATCTTTAGTCTGCGGCTGATTGCTATGTTTAGCTTGAATTTAGACACCAACATCTTCATTTCTTGCAGGAAAAGCATGAATCAATGACAAAAGTCCTGTCCTGAAATATCATTTTTCTTTGTTACCAACAGGCTCTAGTTTCAGAATTTTGCATAATGTGTGCCTTTTGTCTTGTGTTCTGCAGGGACATGCTTGGTTATGCTCTTCTGTAGGTCTGCGGAGGTCTGCCACAGAAAACACAGATGTTGCTGCTAACTGCAGCAGTCCTCTGGCATCTGAATTTAGACAAAGCTTCTTTTTGATGTCGCTGTTTTGTAGTCCCTGTGAAATTGTTTGGTACATGCTTTCATGCCTTTAACTGTGTCCTCCGCAGACTGCCTGCCTCCCCCAGCTCTCTGTCACAACCTAAGCCTTTTCTTGGGTCCAAGAACATGTCATTAGCAGCTTCCACTATCTCATCTGCTATCTCATCTCAGTCTAGGTATATCTGTAAAGCTCTTTTCATTTTCTTCTTATTAATTTGGTTTACTTGGCATTATTCTCTCCATTTTCAAGTTTACAGCTTCTGAAAAGGTTTAGCTTGACAGTATGGAAAAGTGTGATGTTTAATGGAACAGCAAGATACATATACATGCAGATTTTACAAAATCACAGGGGGCTTGAATGAGTGATGAAGATGGAGACTGCTTTAATTTTTTTTCCCCCAGTTTAAATGGCTTTTATTTCATGTGTTTTCATGGCATGGGTCCTTTTACCAATATTTAACAGATGGCAAACATAGAAGGAGAGAAGTTCCAGTTGGATATAAGGGGGAAAAAGTCCGTCAGGGAAGCAGATTAGGCACGAGGATCATGCTGACACATTCTTTCAGCCTGTTAGCAGCAGGCAAATGCTGCCACTTGAGCTCTCTTGATAGTTCAGGAATGCAGCAAACGGGGGACATACAGTCAAATCAGAAACTCAGTAAACCTCTATGAAATTGGTTACCTGAAAAACAGGTATAAAAAAAGCAAATTGTTTTATTTTGTTAGACGTTTGTACAGGAACCAAGGTTGATTCTTTTTTGGTGCCCTATTTGTTTGTCTATGTGTTTTAAACTATTGAACTATTTAAACTATTTAAACTTAAAGCTAGCAAAAMGGGAGCCTAAAACTGGCTCCTAGGTTCATTTCTATTTTAAATTGTTAAACGTCTGATAGTTTTCATTTAGAAGCAGTGTTTCCCATGATGAAGTACAGTTAAAGAGTTAAACTTGCTTTTTCATTTGCAGTCTTACAAAGGAGAAAACAGTGCAGGAGTCTTAAATGGGAAGCCTGAAGATTCCGTAAAGGAAATCTGAAATGGTGCTGCTTCTCCAAGGAGGGGGGAAAAAAAAAAAAAAAGAAAAATCTGCTTACACCCCTAAGAGTATTTGGGATATGCACAAGTAGGGCAGTATTGCTGAACATGTTAGCTTGAAGCAGTTGCTTCAATACTTTCTAYGCCTTTCTGTGGAGTTGCCCTTATTGCCCTATAATTAATATGGAAACTTAGTGTTTGAACTTTGGTTCATTCAAGGTTGTTGTTTAAGATTTGAAATGACTTTAAGGTTATGACAATGGCAAAAACGTGTCTATTCTTCTGTGCTAATACAAAACAACAGTGAATGTCAAAGCACCCACTCCAGCCCTTGAAATAGCATTATGCAACTAAAGAGCCATCAAGAACTAAATGGGAATGAGGTGGGGAGCAATATAGTCAGCTCATTTTTCTCCTTTATTGAATTTTCAGTATGGTCCTAGTTTTAAGAAGATAAGCGGAATGTACTGTAATACTTTGTTAAATGATTTTAAATCCTCGAAAAATGTTACAGGTTGTTTAGCACTTAGTAAGTGTGCTTTCTGTTTATAAGGAAATTAATTGCAGGACAAGGTACCCCAATTTCCTTCATACACTCCTCAAATACAACTTTTGTCTCATTTTAGTTTCAACCGACATTCTTCCACCTCCATCAGCTACCAGTCAAAAAAGAGGTATAAAAGTGTTATTTTGTGCAGCTACTGTGCATTAAAAGCACTTAACAAGCCAGTTTATTGCAGCTAGCAGACATATATTGAATATTAACATAAAAATGATCTGCTTAGAAAGTTTTACTTCCTTTTTTTGGCAACTAATAGTTTTCAGAGACAATCTTTAATTTGCTGCCTCTCACCTCTCATTGGCTGCTACAGATAAATTGGGTCAGGGTGCTTTCATTGCTTTTTGAGATGCCATTGCTTACTCCTCCATTAAAGCATCTTCAGTCCTTGGGATGTATTTTGTTGTATTTCTCTTTCTTTGCTTTTTCTCTTTCTTTCAAAGAAGTCGTATCTAGTAAATCTTTTGAAAGCTGGCTTAACTTCACTAAACACGTTAATCATGTAGTGTTACACTTTATTGCTCTTTGAGAAGACTTCTTCTATTCCTCACACTACTTAATATGTGTTATTACTTTGACTTGCAAAGGAGTTCAGTAGTCGTCTACTTTTAATTTTGTGATGATTTGGGTACTTTGCTAAGCTTTTATTTTTATTACTTTTATGAAGAGATTTTTATTAGTCATATTCCTTTAGTAAGTTACCTGCTGTGACAATGTGAATAATTTTGGATTACTTGAAGTCATTATGCAGATAGTTTTCTTTCCAGAGAATTGTCCATCTTCCTTAGCGCTGCTGAAGATTTCTGAATATCACAGCATTCTCTCTGCAGCTCTCAAGGACAGCACCTGTGGGGTACTGTGGAAGCTGCCCGATCTCTTGATTTCATAATCRGTATCTCTTGCTGCTTATCAAGTTGCTCATAGCTTCGTTTTGTTTTTAGAAACACAAGCCAATCCTATGCACCAACACCAGTTTCTCCAAGCTATGGGGAAAGTCCTGCTGCTTCTACCACGCCAAAACCAAGGGTTGTCACTACTGCCAGCATCAAGCCCTCTGTCTACCAGCCAGGTAAGGTGCCCTCAATTTCTGAAAGGATTCAGGACAGTTTCCAGCAATTTGGTTTGGTTTTGGTTAAGGAAAATGCAGTTTTTTTTATAGGATGCATATTTTAGAAAAGATCTGTTACGTGCAAGGAGCCAAATGGTCCTGGTTTGCTAGAGTTTTGCTTCAGATTATCTCAAGGTTAAGGATTTAGTCTGAAGTGAATATGTGGAATGGATGGAGGAAGAAAAGCAAGGGGAAAAAACTGTAAGAAAAATGTGTTGTTCACATTTTTCAAAAGATATGCATTTGGGAAATAACCTGATGTGCTCAATTAGCAAACCAAGGGCATATCAGTATTGATAAAACGGTTTAAGAATGAACACTACAAAACAGAGATGAAATAAGCTGAATATCTGGCTTGTATGAGAGGAATCAATAAATATTTCTTTTAYGGCAAAGAGGGCATACTGTGACTAATTCTACTGGGGATTTTCAGCTGTTAGAAATCCCTCTTTGTACCATAGGGAAAACGCCAAACTGAAATCTTTTCTCCTTTGTGTCCATGATGTTTCATGGCCTGTTTCTATGGATTTCCCTGTGTGAACCCGGGCCACTAGGTGGCAGGAAATGCTTGTATCTCCCTTCAGCGTGTGCTATCCCAGAGGAGACGAGAGCTTGCCTGGATTTCAAGCAACCCAAACACCAGTTCCGACCTACAAAGTAATAAGATAGCCCAAAGCAAGAAAGGAAATCTTTCCTTTGAAWTCTTTGGGCTAAGTAGGAGTCCTCATGTATATAAAAGTGTGGTGGCCTGATCACATAGAAATCAAGAAAAGCTTCTCACAGATCCCAACTTTTCACCGATCCTAAATGTTTTCAAGACTGAAAAAGCAGGTTATGTGCCACTGCCTGATAACATAAACTCTTCTGAATAAGAATTGTGTCTTTTTTATAAATGTGTACAAAGACGGTTGCATTATCTGGTTCTCATCTACTATACACTGGACCAGTACGTAGCGAAATCCTGGGTTTTGAGAATGAGGGCAATAAGTGGAAAAGAGCAGTGATTATGAATTGTGTTTGCCCCTGAAAACACGTTACCAACAGTTGTATTCTGCTAACAGACAGAAAGAAATGGGAAACTGTTTCCACACTGCAAAATAAGAYGCAAGTCTAAAGCACTTGAGACTGCACATATCTTTTCTTTGTTATTTGGAAAGCTGCCTTTTTTCCTGGAGGGAAAATATCTATTAACTGTAGAGTAAGATCTGAAGGGGAGAATTCCAAATCCTGTGGAAGCCAAGAGGCAGCCCGTTCCCATGGCTGTTAAGTGAGACCTCTTCTACCATGCTCTCAAGATAACAATAAAACCCATTCTTTCCCCTCTACTATAGGAGAAGCGGAGTCCGAGGGAAACAGGGCGATAGAGGTTGAATTACTGAATCATTTAAAGTATTTATTTTTGAACAGCCATGGGTCAGTTGATATGAGGCTGATATTTTGAGATTCTATCYTCTGATATACTGAACCTAGTCCTTGTTCAGAGCAGACAGCACCTTTTATCTGCTGTATGTATGGTGGAAGATGCTAAAATATGTAAACATGTAAGGTGAATTTGTAAGGCAGTAGCTAGGGAGCTTTTCTTATGAGTTTAGAGTTAAAACTGTAAGATAATAATTCCCTTCTAATAAGTGTAGCTAAAAAGTCTCAGTAAAACATTTCTAGTGCTTTGCAATGATTCTATTTGAAAGCTTGTTTACTTTGGGAAAATACGCAGTGGTAAGTCCATCTTTAAAAGTTAAATGGTAATACCTGGGAAGTTATTTAACTGCAGAGAACTAGGAGGAGTTGCAAATACTCAGTATTTGTCATTYTGCAGTAATTCCTTTGGCATCTTCTTTCAGCAGCTCAAAAACAAACGATATGTTATTGTTTTCTTTTTACAGTGGCAAACTGAAAGAGAAATAGAAAAAAAATAGAAAGAAAGAAAAAGCAAGAATGAGACACAGTCCCCAGAATTTATTCTACAAAGGAGTCTAGATTAGTCCAAACCCAAATTAATCATGTGCTGTCTAAACTGTTAGAATAAACAAAGTGATCAAAACAAGACGTTGATACTATTTATGAGAATAAGGAAGAAAAAGTTAAAAATCAAGAGGCTGTAAGCTTGTAAACKGAGTTGATTGAAGACAGTCATAGGAAGAAGATCCTAGAAATTGTACCTGGGCTGTCCGTAAGGGCTGCACTATCTCTTCACTTTTGGAAGTCTGGATTTGAATCTCTAGCCATTTTGCTGGGCTGTCCATGGCATCACTGCCACGCTTTGCATGAACAAGCCCTGGCTTTTGGGGGTGGGAAAATCCCCTCACAAAGCTGAGGGAGCTGGAAGTCTCCTTCTTTAATTACAGAGCCTCATAGGTGGGAGCTTTTTTGAACTCACCAATTAGAGATGAAATATTACCTTCTAATTTTGATTGGCCTAATACCTTGATACACAAATAGCAACAGCCCCAGGGTTTAAAGAGATTGGATATAAGCTGTTTGTTCTGAAGTCTTTAAACATTGTTTACCATTCCTAGGTGAAAAAAAAAAAAAAAAAAAAAAAAGAAGCCTTAAGCTAAGGTGGGGTACAGGATTATGAAGCAGAAAATGTGATGATGCTGTAGTACGAGGGAGTTTTATCAAGAAGTTGCTTTAGATTCAATACTAATCTCAGTAAAAAGAAGAAAGCCAGAGGTCCTGAGGTGATTGCACTCAAGTGCTGTACGAGCAGTTTTAAGCACKTGTAATTCAGGAGGAGTGTTAAGTAGTACATAATTTTCTATTTTATACATGGGAACTGAGGCAGAGACACTACACTTTGCTCCGAGTTCTAAAGGAGTCTGCGGCAGAGCCAAGAACTGAGCTGAGATTAGGCAGAACCACAAGCTTGGCCTTCCTCTGAGGGCTGCCRGCTTTGTGGCGCTGCTCACGGAGCCGCCGCGCGCCCTGGCTGCTCCTGCCCCGCTGCGCGCTCCCGGYCACTGGGTCCCCTGCATCCACTGTGTTACTCCTGGAACCTAGAAGTAACACTTCATATGAATTACAGAGGAGAGTGACGTCTGTGGAAAATGCTGCATTTTGCCCCATACAATTAGGTCAAAATTTAAGGATGATTTCTTACTAAAATTATAGGAAATTYTGTCTAAAACTTTATTATGTGACCTGGCATTTCCATTTTTAACCTATCTTAGACACATCAGGTAGCAATCTTAGGAAAAAATCACATCCATTCCTATTATAGGAACAGTGAGGTGTTCTCAAAAATGGTCTCTATAAATTCTGTAAAAGCCAGAAGACTTTAATGATTTCAGTGATGTAAGTGGGTAAAATGTCAGAGAATTTGCTGATATTATTAGATTGCGTCCAGAATTAATGAGTCATAATGCGAGAGACTATGTGTCATCTCGAGCTTTGTTGTTGTTGTTTGTGGGTACCCTTTGACAAGTGTTACTCTTTTGCCATCAAAAAAATGAGGTTAAAATAATTCTTGGTTTCCTTTGGGATACTTAAAACAGCACCAGCCCCAGTTCATTCCTACACGCCTGCCAACACTGAGCCTGCAAGCCGTCCTCCGTGGGTAACAGATGACTCCTTTTCCCAAAAATTTGCTCCTGGAAAAACCACCACCACTGTCACTAAGAACATCCTTCCACGGGGTGCTCCAGTACCATCTCCTGCCTCAACCTCAGCTTATCCGACCCCAGTGTCAGCTTCTTCCCAGGCTCCTGCAATAGCCCGGGGAACAATTCAGAGGGCTGAGCGTTTTCCAGCCAGCGGCCGAACTCCTCTTTGTGGGCACTGTAACAGCATCATTCGGTAAGAGGTTCTGAAGAGGGATGAAAAAAGAAAGAAAAAAAAAAAAAAAAAAAAAAAAAAAAAAAGGAAAAAGATATCACAGAGATACTGGTGATTATACATTAAAATACAGTCACAGAGCCTAAGACTCAGTTAAATTACCCAGCATCCCAGCATGGATGTCTGTTGTCTGCTTCATTAATTTAACGTTTCCAGAGCTCTTTTCATCATTGTGTGGCTCACATTTTATCACTACCAAGTTATACATGCTAATTGTTTCATGGATGCTGTGGCTAATCCCTGTTTATTTTTTACACAAGTTTCTGGTCCACAAGTTATCTCTTGACAGAGGTGCATAGAATTTTGGGGAGGGGCTGGGAGGGGAGAGTTGTGGAAAAAGAGGGGATGGCAGAGGGAAAAGGGATGAGACATCATTTTGGAACAGCAGCCAAATGTAATTGCTGCTTTTGTGTCTGGAGCAAGATAATGCCTGCGCTCCATTATCAGTGATTCATAGCATGCTTCTCCCTGCCCCGCTCCAGCTCCTGCTGCTGGCCGGCTGCCCGCAGCCACCCCTGGCACCGCTAACCAGCCGGCATCCGAGCTGGGGGACACTCGGAGCTGGTGGAGGGCTGCGGATCTGCTCCTTATGCCCCTCTTCCAAAACAGAAAGACTCCTGTAATAATAGAATAAAATCCTAATCACTACATGTGATTACAGTCAAAAGCAAGTCACCAAAAATCACTTAATGTGCCTTCCCATTTAACAGYAGGTTGCAATCTGATAGTCTGGCATTTTTACAACAGGCAGCATGCAGTAGTCTCAGATGCAAAGAAAGCAGGAGACTTGAGGAGCTGTTGGGAAACGTGGCTGTGTAGGTTTGGAAATTGGCATGCTTTTTCATGCTTTCAAATAGTAGCTTTATTTTGTATATTACAGTTCTTGGGTCTTTTCCTGCAGTTGGATGTTTATACGTTTCTGTGTTTTGTGTGTCCTTTTTAAGAACTGTGTTAAATATCTTGCAGCTGGTCACAAAAAGATGTATAATCAGGCAGATAGGAAAATAAGTGAGGATTTTTTCAATGGTTCCTTTAAAAATCAAATGCATTGGTCTAAATAATGAAAGCATTTTAACCAATTTGCAAAATGTTTTAGTGATAATTTTGAAGACGACTATCCATTTCTGTTCAGGTTTCTGGATCTTATTTTAATATGCATCTTCGTGGTTCACATGGAATTCTTGCTATGTGTCTATGGGTTTGTAATCGAGCTCTTTCAGCATTTTTRTAATACAAATAGGGTCGTTATTATTTGCAGGGGTCCTTTCCTGGTAGCCATGGGTCGCTCTTGGCACCCAGAAGAGTTCAACTGTGCTTACTGCAAGACTTCCTTGGCTGACGTGTGCTTCGTGGAGGAGCAGAACAGCGTGTACTGYGAGCGCTGCTACGAGCAGTTCTTCGCGCCCACCTGTGCCAGGTGCCACACTAAGGTCATGGGGGTAAGTCGAGGGCACCAGAGCAGGCTGAACCACTGAAGTTAGAAAGGGTTCAACTGCAAGCACTGAATGAAGGTATTCGATTATTTGCCTTTTGTAAAAATTATTATAAAAACACGTATTTCTCCTTCTGGAATAATCAACATTATTTTTTAACACTCTCAAATCTTGGATACTTTTGTGCTTTATTTAACAGAGTACATAGTTCAGTTGCTTTCTCTCACAATGTAAAATAAAAAGCATTTTCTGGATAATTCTTTGATCCATTTAACACATAATTTGGTATGCTTCTATTAGCTATCTTCTCATGTCTTAGTAATAAAGCGGATTTTTTTCTTAATATCTGGCAATCTAAATCCCTGTAGAGCGGTCAGTAAAGTTGGAGAGAGAGACATTTCTCTCACTGCACCTCACTATTGACTAGAAATGCAGCTGCCCAAAGCAATTATTTTGACTTATTATAGTTTAGGTAATAAAATACAGAATAAATACAATTTTGAATTCCAGAAGGGCAAAATTAGATGCCACTTTTGTCTTAATATATTTATCCTCAGATACAAGTAAATGATGCTCTAAATAGATGCTGATGCAGCTGAAATACCATAATTTAATTTTAGCAGTGTATTTATACATGCAGCTATAGTGAATATATGACATGATTCCTTTAAATGGGAAAGCAAGGAGCCCCACACTGTTTTTCACTACTTAGCCTTCACCTTTTGACATCTCTGTAAATGTTGGCATCCACAAAGTAGATGCCTTCCTTTGCAATTGCCAATTAGGGCTGGCAGCATCAGACATTTATGGCAGAGCTCTGGCTCCTACCAAGTCCTGTTTACTACTGCAGCAGTAGGAGTAATTTTAAAGCAGAGTACTGACTTAAGTTATCTAATGATGGCACAAATCAGTTCTCTGTAAGAGATTTTCATCACAAAAATAACAAAGATGCCACCTCCTTCTCTGTATATTAATAAGATTTTTCAGCCTGTCATGTTCTTAGATGGATACAAGTCTTATTTTTCAGAGAGAACTGTTTAGCAAATAGTAATTTAGTGAATCTCAGTGGCAATTCTGTAATGAGATGTATGGCAAGCATAAATGAGCCCTTTTTGGCTGTACAGTAGAGTGAAAGTAGAGAAGGGATTTCGGTCATTTTTGTGTCAGTCAATGGAGATTAAAAAAATAAAATAAATAAAAGCTGAGAATCAGATCCTTCCTACTAAATCGGAAGCAACATAAACCAGGAACCAGATCCTCAGCTAGTGCAAATCGTTGTTTTATTGAAATTAATAAGGCTAAACTAATTGACACCAGTTGAACATCTGGCCCTTCAAAATCTCAGCTGTTGCACAGACATTTACTGTCCCATCCCCTTGAGCACCAGGCAGAATAACAAATTGGCAGGTAATGCTGCATCAGAGCTCGGTGTAGCAGCTCTTGGGCTTGCAGAACTTGACTGTGACCTAGATAATGAAGCAGCAATAGATGGCTCCATAGTGGAGAGAAGAAAAGAACTGATAAAATCCGGGTACTCTGTTCCAAGTATTTTTATATAGAAAAAATAATAAGGAAGATTTTCAGCAGACARCTGCTGGATTTGCATTAGTTCAGGAGAACAAACAAACTTGGTCAACTGAAATTGTGATTTCATGAATACCACAAGCTATAAGTTCATGCCACAAGAAGTTGTTACACTCTCACTACTTGCATTACTCTTTCCTATCCCCTGTGCCATCCATTTCTTAATCTGGCCTAAATTTATGTGTGGCCACACACTCAAATGACTAAGGAATCAGGATGGATTAAACTGAAGGAAAAATAGGTCACTGTTTAGTGACATAAATACTTCTTTGGAAACAGAGGGATCCATATAGGAGAGAAAGAAACAACTAAGATTGGTGGGAGTCTAAGAACAGCCCACTTTTGTGTCAGTAATTTGTAGTGGTGTCACAGTTTTTTTTTTTTTTTAAAAACATTTTTTTAAAAAGTTTTGTTTTAAAAAAAATATATATAGGGTATGGATCATCATGGGAATGTGTAAAACTGCCACCTRTCCAGTATCAAGTGTTTTCTTTTACTGTGGGAAACATCACTAGGGCAAATTTTAATCTTAATGCTATAGGCTAAGAGCAGACCCGCCAACTCATTTTCATTAGTTGCAGGAGCTAGAATCTAGGAACACAATTTTTTTTTCAAAATTTATAGTCATCTTCAAGGATTTTATTTGTGAGAAGCTTAAAGAAATTAACACCTAATTAAGTTGGCTTGAAAACATTGAATTTCAAAATCATTTATCCCCAGCGAACATTTCTTGGTCTTAGAGGGTAAGTTACACTTGAGAATTTATTTAGATTTAATACATCGCCCTCTTCACTTGTTGCAGTGAGGAGTTCCTACAAAGGGTGTCAAGGCCAGGGAGGCCGGACGCGGGCGGCTCTGCGGGTGGCTGCCGCCCTGCGGCCGCAGGAGCTGCGGAGCTGGGCCGCACCGATTCACCCTGGCACGTGCTGTGTCCCAGCAGGCTGGCAGCGCCGCCCCCTCCTTCCCGGGGAGCCCCCTTCCTGGCTTCTCAGTTTCTTTTGGGGAGAGGAATGTGTTGGTAGAACAGGAGAAGTGGGGAGCATCTGCGTGGTGTCGTTGCAGCAGGTAGGCAGGCAGAGCACGTGCCGTCGTGCTGCAGCTCCTGTGTTTGCTTTGCAGGAGGTGATGCACGCCCTGCGACAGACCTGGCACACCACTTGCTTTGTCTGTGCTGCCTGCAAGAAGCCATTTGGGAATAGCCTCTTCCACATGGAGGACGGGGAGCCTTACTGTGAGAAAGGTAGGGCAAGCGGGGCCCGTCGCGCAGCGCTCGTCTGCTCTCCCCTGCGTGGAGGCCACGTAAGAGCAAAGCAATTGCTCAGAAAGACAAAAAAAAAAATAGAAACAAACGTCAAGCTTGGCTTCCCACTCTATGTTTTTCTTCACTTTTTAATAGCCAGGTGGGGCAAGTCTCCCTGTGGCCCAGACTGCCTTGCCTCATTTCTCTCCTTTACCTGTTTATCTTTCATCTGTGCCTCCCATTTTCCCCGTGTTCCCCAGTTCCCTGGTGGGCTCTGCTTGCATCCTGCTCCTTAGGATCCACATGTTCCTGGGGCAAGGAGCAGAGCTGGTGCTTCTGTACAGTATGAGCAGGTTGCTGACCATATCCTCTCCCTCATGTTGTGCTTCTAAACCACCCTTAAGGCAGCAGTCACTGGTCATTAGACTCTATTTTCAACAACCATAGTTGTCTTTTGTAGCTTACACATGCATTAAAGCTGATTTAAAGCTACTGTGAGAAACGTGGCTTTCAATTTCCTGACTTTTGTATGTTGGTTTTTATATTTGCAATAACCGTATTGCTGTACCAATGTGCAGTTTTAAATTGAATTAGTATTTGCATTAAAAAAAAAAAGGCAGCTCTCCTATTTCTTTATAGGGAAGTCTTACTGAATGCTGCAGAAATTCTGAGCAACAATAATCCAAGAAAATCATCCTCTAGAAATGTTGTTTCTCTTTGATGTAATGTGATTAAGTTATGAGTTTGTTTTAAATTTGTTTGTTTGTTTTATTTTAGATTACATTGCTTTGTTCAGCACAAAATGCCATGGCTGTGATTTTCCTGTTGAAGCTGGAGATAAATTCATTGAAGCTCTTGGACACACTTGGCACGATACCTGCTTCATTTGTGCTGTACGTTCTATCCTAAAAATATCTAATTTTCTTACGATTCTTATTCTTAAATAGAAAGCACATTGGTAGAAGTGGAAGGCATACACCTGTGGATGGAAAGGGATTTCATTTTTTACTTGTGGATGGAGACAGATGGGGATTATTTTTCTTCTCCTCTCTAAACTTTTACCTGAGGTATTAAAATTAGAGCATTGTAAGCAAATGCTTTTTAATATAGCACAYGATTTTAGAGAGAGCCTGTATATACAGGAATAAGTAACACTATATCTTATTATTCTTTCCAATGTTGTAATTCTTTCCAGCACTAAAGAAGATACATCAGAATTTAAAGTAGATTAATGCCATACTGAGCAGTATAGCTATAATTTTGCTTACAAAGCTGCCAAGTTTGCATTTCCATGCAGAATTCTTGTTGAAACTTGCAAAAGGAATCTGTTTAGATAGAATGAATAGTGATTGGTGTAGATCTGGTGAGACTCTGTGACACGTGTACAGTTACATAGCTATATATTTACGCTTATACTTGCATTCAAATAGATTTATATGAAATAGTMGGATTCATACAGTAAGCAGTACTTTCCATATGATCCTATTACAGCTGTGCTGCTCCCCAACTGTTATTCCTGAAACAATTAACAATATTTAAAATGTCTAATTAGGTGCAAATAATACACTGGCCATATGAGAAATGACAGTGACCATTTCGAAAGTTGGTTGAGCCCCAATTCAGCAATTTCATTTGAAAAGTAAAAGTGCAGAAATACTTAAAATATCTATAGCTAAGCTAAGCGGCTACCGTTCTTTCAAGGACACCAGGAAATGAGTGACCCAGTGATGCCTTTATCTGAAAATGGAAACGTGTGTGGAGCTGGAGCACCGAAAGGAGCACCAAGGCAGCCAGTTCCATGCACAAACCAGCAGCTTATTCCTTTTCAAACTTTCAACACTCTCTCTGAATGCTTCCTATTCTTTTTCACATGTTCATTTAACTATTTGAATTAGCAACCCAAGTTTTTACAGAGATTTCTTTGTTTTGTTAATGCAGTTCTGACATCTGTGATGGAGCAGTTTCCTTTAGTTCTTTCAGTGGGCTAAAAATCAAATGAAAATACACACGATTACTCCTTTCTAATATGCTGCTTCTCATATCCACTCCCCTGGCTTTCCTTTCACTTGCAGTTGCGCATTGCTGATGTTATCACTGTCTGGTCTTGAGCCTGCTGTAAGCACAGGGGCAAAGTTTATTCTTGTATCTAGGTTCTGATACGTTGACTTCCGCAGGGGTAGTAGGAAACTCTGACCTCGCGAGCAGGGGATGTCTCTCGGTGTGGATGTGGGTACAATTCCCGGCTTCCTGGGCAGTTCGAGCTGATCTAAACATGGCCTGCCCTGCCCTTAGCCGTATGTTCCCACCTGCTTTGCTGTGTCAACACTGGCGCTTTTGCAGCCTACAGGTTGAAGAATAACCTGGCAGGAAAGGTACTTCATTTGCAGTGGTATCAGCTATGGAGTGACTCATGCACTAACACCAATATTAGGACAAAGAAGTGAGAGGGACTGAKCTCCTAATGGTACCGTGGCAGGGTGTTGCTGCTGGGACCGTGGTACCTCGCCAGGGCTGCTGTAAAATCACTCCTTTGGAGAAGCAGGATGCAGCCCTGTGTGTCACCCTCCCTTGACAGTCCCCGTAGGCCCTGCTGGGACACATTGAAGCTGCCTGGTGTGGCAGCCAGATACAGAGCAGAGGGTTGATGCAAACCAGGGCCAAACCACAGCGCAGAGTTGGGAAAGGTACCAGGGCATGTGCCCTTTGATCCGGGAAGCTGGGCACATGCCCCGACTCTGTTGTGTAGGCTTGGCCAAAAAAAAAAAAAAAAAAAAAAAAAAAAAAAAAAAAAAAAAAAAAAAAAAAAAAAAAAAAAAACCCAAATTGTGGGCTGAAAAGAAAGACAGTTGACATGGATCATCACATATATTTTTTTAATTGCCTTTTCATTTTCTTCTGATTGCACTTATTATTTTTCTAGGTATGTCATGTGAATTTGGAAGGCCAACCGTTTTACTCCAAGAAGGATAAGCCCCTGTGCAAGAAGCATGCCCATGCCATCAACATCTAAAGGAAGAGGTGGAAGCCAGTTACGCTGGGGAAAAAAAACATGACTAACCAGGCAATTATGAAATGGATGGCTATGGCTGGCTAGGATGTTTATGGGTAAAAACTAGGAAGCTGACACTCCTGACGTTTAATTTTAACCTCTTTCATATATGTAGAACAACTTTGGAATGGTTCATACAAAGAGCTGTTGAACAATCAAAACAAATGAACTGTCTATTTTAAAATAGGTTTAATGCAGCAGCTGGTGGAATTATTRGTATTAACTGAACTACAATATTAAAAAGTAATATGCAAATACAGTTTTGACTGCTACCCAAAGCAGCTTTACTGCTTAGACCACACACTAGTGTTTAAGAATAACTGGAAAAGTTCTTTTGTAGTAAGTCATTTTCTTTTGTAGCAAGAATGAGCAAGTGCCACATGTACAGTAATCTGTAGAACCAAAGGCAATAGCTTTCAAAGAGAAATAAATAGGTCAGGTTTTCCTCATTGAAAAGTGAGGACTATTCCATTATGTCATGGTGCTGCCTTATAGCATCAAACATGTTAGATTCTTTCAAGAAGTTTGCCTTGAATCCAGCTTGAATGCAGCTCTGAAGCAAAGCCGAGAATGGGTAATTTAGTTTAAGAATAACATGAAAGCAGAATTTACTCTATCCATATCCCAATAAGCCCAAGAAAAGGATTTTGGTTTTACCTTGTTAATGCACTTGGCGTATGTACAAACAGTAGATTACCTCACTTTCAAAACACAATGAGAAAGGGCAACTGGCTTCCTCCAACTTGCTCTAAATGGAATGGAAAGGGGCTCACTGGAAAGGAACTGTCTTTTAATTCAAAGCCRGTCTACCTTTCCATTTGGGAAGCAAGATTCTCAGAGCTGCTTGYGTGTCTAGTTCTCCTTTATTTCAGCGCGAGTCCAACCTTCACATCCCTGGAGCACAGCTTGGAGGTAGGAGGTAGCTTACGGAAGTTCCCTGCTGAGTCCCCGTATAGTTAGGAAAAGGACATTTTTATTTTCCCTGTAGTAAATGAACATTGACAAAAATTCACAGGGCCAAGTATGTGGTCTTTTTWAACTTTTGTTCTGTAAATGCAATGCAATCTGAATTGTGTTGCGTTTACCACTGTAAGACAGTAGGTAGGCTTTGATACATAGGATAACCATAGAATCATCTCGCCTACTATTTTAAACACCTTTGAAGTTATTCAGACAGTTACTTACGCGACTTCTTTTTTCCATAAGACCGCAGTATTTGTATTGATAATTTTTAATTTTAAATATTGATGACTTCTGTGACGGTGTTCTATTGAACAGGAAATAGCATTATAGTGGAATGTTTGATAACTATTCAAGTTTTATTGATTTAAGAGAGAATTATGAATTTGTATTTTTATCTTACAGTGCTTCCGGTTTAACGTTAGGATTTCTTGGGCTTCAGCTTCCCGAGGATGCGTTCTGTGGTACCATTCTGGTGCTGTCTGCACACTATCTTACCTTGTGGTTTTGAGTTAGTAGCGAGGGACTTGGTATTGCCTTTCCCTCCTGTGACATGTAATGCCCTTTTTGAGAAAGTCAGCATGTCTTTTAGGGGTGGCAAGTGTGCAGGAGGAGGCGGGAGGAGTAAATAAAGGAAATCCAGGGTTCTGTTGTGGAAGTAAAAACTTATCTGCAGGCAGTTCGCATCTTGGGTCAAATAAATAACGTTAAGCTGCCTGTGGCAGTTTTGACATGAATAATCTGACCTGTATTTATTCTATAGGTACCTTACTACTGATGCTAGCAATAATCCCAGGCTACAGAGTCAGATTTTTTATGAATGAATTATTCTAAAGGAATACATTATGTAGCTTTTTTTTTCCCATAGTAAACAAATTTTCTGCTTTCACTTGGTGCTGGACTGATGTAAATATGGTTCCATTGATTACGTAATTCAAAGATTTGGCTCTAGTGTTCTCCAGAGGAACAAATCATAATCATGGAAGTTAAATAATTTTTTCATTCATGTTTGACTGCACTAAGTAGTTTTTTGTAAGAGTGAGGTGATTCTATATTTCCTTTTGTTTTCTGAATGTCATTCAACAAAAAATGGTGTTTATTATTCTCTGTTACTGAGAGATAGATTCAGAAACAACATGTTACATATTAAGCCTGCACTGAAGATGCTCTTCCAGGAAGTTTCTGTGTTACCCTCTCACATGGGACTAGTCTCTAACCGCATGTCAACATCACAGATTCTCCAAACGGGGGCCAGGCTCTTTGGGAGGATACAAAMTGCTAGGGGATGTGATTCCTCAGGAGGTTCCTCATCAGGTCTCCTGCCTCTACATCTGTACGTGTGCGCCTGTCCCTCTCCCGCTTTGCCTTCCCCTCTGCCAAGTCCCTGAACATGTGCTCTTTGCTGGCYGTGTGAGGAGTGTGACCTTTGAGGAGGTGCTCAGAGAAGAAGGCAGCAGGGTTGGGGCTTCCTCTTCTCCCTGCTTCCTCCTGACCTCCTGCTTCACCTGCTTAGAGGAAGTCAGGCTGTTAGATGAGGCACCAGCAGAAAGGGCGGCAGTGGGACTGGTGGGGCTGCTTTCCCCCTCCCTCCGGGAGCCCAGGACGGGTGGCATGGGTGGCTCAGGCTGTGAGGAGTTGGGTGCAGGGGTCTCGTGTTGGCAGGGGAGGCTGGGCCCCCGTGTGAGCSGGAAGGTGACTGTGGCCCCAGAAGACAGGACTCTTGGGCCTTTGGTCAAGTCTAGACAGATGTGTAGATGAGGCTTTGAGAAGGCAGGGGAAGCCCTTGCTGAAGGGGGCAGGCCGGGTAGGGCAGGTTTCACTGACTTCGTAATATGCTGGATACGGGGTGGGAAGGGGGCATAGCCAGGAAGACCTGCTGTACTCAGGGCAGGGACTCGGAGCAAGAAATGAGGGTGCAAGCAGCTCACAGCCGGCCCGAGCTACGGCACGAGCAGAGAGGACCCCGTAAAGCCCCAGGCCAGGGCGCCTGAGGCCGGCGCAGCGCGGGGGCTGCGYGGGAGCGGGYGCAGCGGCACGCGCGGGCGGCAGCCCCGCTCCCGCCGGCCCCTCGCCGAGCCCAGGCACAGACACCCTCAGGACAGCATGCAATAAGCTTCCTGTTTAACTTGTGCTGCTTCATGATGTGGTCCAAACATTGGGAATCCACTTACCCGCCCTTCATATCTACATTAAGATATAATTTTTGCACATATCTGAACCAGAAATTAGTGAATAATAACGTAGAACTTCAACTCTCATACGGGTAGGATACCATGTAACTGCTGATACTCTTCTGCCAGCTGTCCTAGTTGTGACATGGGGGCAAAGACACATAGACATAAAATTAAAAGTAGGGCCCTTATTTCAGCTATCACTAAACATGAATGCTGTTCAAAAACAATGTTTGCAAGATGAATAATTTGTGCTTGTTTGTTTTATGTCTTGTAACAGATGCCTAAGTCATAAAATGATCTCAGTATTTTTCAGTATAATTCACATGGGGCTTTACATAATAAAACAAAGACACTGTACCTCTGAATGATCAAATAAAAGGACCTAGCTAATTAAAAAATGATCAATATCTTTTTCAGTCAAACTTTTCAGTTAAAGGCTTTGGGAATAATCCTATTTTTTTTTCCTGCCTTTTTTTTTCCTTCTTTTTCTTTTTTTCCTCCAGAATGGGGTGAATTAAACATCTCCAAAGATGACTCTGGCTTTATTTTCCAAAAAAGCAACTGTGCTAACTATTTTTAGAAGAYAGTTTTTGATGTTGTGTTCACACATTACACATTTCTAAAGTAAATTCAAAGCAGTGAAAAATATTTTACTTTGGTCCTTCAGTGGTCAGTAATTTGGGTGAAATGTTTTGTTAAAATTATTTGTATTTATATGTAATAAAGTGAGTGTCCACGGCGCTAAACACTCTTATTAGTGTCTAATGCTGGGCATGCTAATGTTTATTTGCAATACTTGTCTCCTGGTAGCAAATATTAATTTGTTTAGTATTTATAAACATCAGAGTTTTAAAATGAGTGATTCGTTGCCTGCAGTGATCATAATAGATAAGTTTTATAATAATTGAAATGTTGACTTGATACCACAAGTGCCCTTGCTTTTAGATTAATATATATATTTAATTTTTTTAAGTTTCTAGTTACTTCAGAAACGGAGTGTAGTGTGGTTTATGAGGTGTGAGTAACTGTACCTTGCATGGGTTATCTATGCCAACATGAATAAAACTGGTTATAAAAGCAATGTGCAAATACATTTAGAACTTTATGATTTGGGCTTATTTATTAATATGCCATGAGAACAGCTGACAGCTTTCAGCCATGTAATACTGATAAGGAAGCATACACAAGCTTGTATTCTCTACTTCAGACCTTAAAATAAAATAAAAAGTGTTGGTTTCAACTCTTCTTCATTGTTTAGCAATCTTGAATGTTTTTTTCAACAGCTATAATGCTGTTTTGGAAAACAATAACAACAAAGTACTAGTACACTTAAAAGATGCAGCATATCAATAGTACCAGCTGTCATTTAACCAGACTGGTGAATTCACAGATGTTACTGTAAGCAGTGTTTGTTGACACAGTACCTTGGTAAGGAAGGGGTGGGTTCTGTCCTAGGTTACAGGGATGCATCGGAGCCCACAGTTCAGTTGCCTGAATTACGTGGGTGTTCTGCTCTTTTTCAGCAGAAGTGGCTTTAAAAAATGCGCACAAAGTTCTAGATGTTTGCACTGAACTCCAGTGCCAAGAAATACTTGCGAAGGAAAGTCAATCTTCACATAACAGTATAGCTTATTAAAGCAGCCATTTTGTACATTCTTAATCCACACCCCTCAGGAATGCAGTTCTTTTTAAAGATACAGCTAATGAYACTAAACCTAATTAAGAAGTTAGGCTAATAAACAGATTCAGCTTTAGCTGGCATTACGAAGGACAGCATCAGGAAGTGCAATTTTGTGCACTTTGATTTTATTTTATAGCCCTAATTTCTGTTTACAGTTTGCATAAGGAAATGCACGATCTAAAAGAATGATCAGAAYGTACCCGATTTGTTGTCAAGTCTAAAGGGCTGGTTTAGATGTCCCGTTCTGGCCGTGCAGCTCTGCAGCAGGGAGCACTTCCCGGCTGTGCCCCGTGCCCTCTGGCGTTGGCTGCGCTCCTAGAAGGGGCCCCGGGCACCCAGCATGGGCGGCCCTGTGACACCTGAACAGGGGCCCAGAAATGCCCAGCAAGGGTGGCTGGAGACACGCAGGGGGCAGAACAGCTGGGCTAGTGCTGCATTAAGACTCCGAGGACAGGAGAGATGATGATTTACTCTATAGAAAATCAGTGGTTTCAAAACTATACGTTTTGGCTTTGTTTCCCCCTCCCCTTTCCCCTCCTCACCTCCCGAATCATGAATCTTAAATTCAGGCAGTTTCTGTTGATTAAGAAAGGAATGTGTGAATGAGATTGCTGAAACCATTACTGAATACACAAAGAGATGCTTTGTTCTCCTGGCCAAATCAGCGCGTTACGGAGGAGATCCAGGTTATATTCAGGCATAAATTCTGTCTTGTAAGCTTAGTCCTTAAAAATACAGTCCCTTCTCCTGTTAGGAAGCTCACAGCAAGAAAAAGCAGTGACAGATGAGCTGCAGTGTACAGGCATATCAGTAAATTGCAAGTGAATGCAGTGTACTTTTTTCTTACTCAAAATAGGAGAAGACAAAGTGAGGATATAATTTCAAAGCTGCACAAGGACATCAGCTATTCCTACTGCAGCAGGAGCTACCTGCCCCGGGCTCCTAAAGGTGCCAGAAATGAGAAACTCGCGGCTGCAGATCCCGCCTCGCCTGGCACCCCCTCCAGCAGCAACTCAGCAGGGCCGGAGGTCCCTGCTCACCCCGCGGCTGCTCCAGCGGTCCCTGTCCCTGGCGCCGCTCCATGCCAGCCCGGCCCGTGTCCCTGTCACCCTTCTGGCCCATGGAGCTGATGGGAAGTGGCAAAACGGCCTGGGAAAGAATGGCAGCTTCCTCGCTCTTTAGGAATTGCCCCTAGGAAGCTGCCCCTGCTTCCCTGCAGTGCTTATCAGACACTGTTCTGCTGAAATGTTCATTCATTTATATAGTGGCTATAACTGATAAAACCTTAGAGAGGCTCCACAGGTGAGTCATGAGACTGTTCCGGGTCATAAGGGCTAGCAGAATGAAATTGCTTCAAGTGCAGTTAAAGTTGTTGAATAAAACAAGTTTCTCCTTTGAAAATTTCCAGGTTTTAGCTGCTAGGGAATAATCGAACATAAATTAAAGTGTCATCAATAGTTCTTCTACTGCAAAAGTATTTTATAATTTTTTGCTTTTAAAATTCACATTATTTTCATTAATAATAAAGACAGTATGGAAATACTTCTGCTGCTTCTACTTAGTTTTAGTATGTGCTGAAAAAGTTGATTTTTTTTCTGAGTTGGTGATTTTTTCTTTTTTTAATTTGGTGAAATAGATAAAAACGCAGATTAGAATTGAACCAAGGTGACTCCCCCCAAAAATGCATTTGGGCTGAACGCTCCTCGCTACCAGAAGGTCAGAAAACTTGTTGTTCTTTTGGAATGTTTCTTCTAACAGTGTATTAAAGGAGTACTCTG